TAAAACCCATGAGCTAATAATACATCATCTTGGAAAAATTCAATAATTTTTTTCTAAATGAATTTGATGTAAAACCGTCTATACCCATGTTCTCAGATATCTATAATCTGAAAAGATGATGATTTGTACAAGAAAAAACTGGCCTCATTGCTTTTTTGCCCCTGCCTAATATAGACGTAGTCTTCCTTCTGGGAATTTAGATTCTGTTACATACAAAATTCCATCACAGCAGTGTTTTGGTTACAAAAATCGGGGAAAAAAATCTAATGATAAATAGGGGCTATTTAACAGATTACTTTAGCCATTAAAATAATAAAAGAATGCTTGTCATTATATGCGCAGTATGATCATAGTATACAGAAGAAGAAAATGAAACAGTGTAGTTAGATGAAAACAAAAGCTATCAATGTAAAAACAGTAGTTGTGTCATCTAGGTGATAATGTTGGTGATTTCCTTTGGTTTCTTTGTCCTGTTTATTATATTCCTTTATCCTGTGTAATGAACATATGTGTGAACAATGTGTGAAAAGATTTTTTAAGATTAAAGAAATACCTTTGACTCAGCTATTTGGGAAAGAGGTGATGCAAACCGTAAGCAAATGGATTTATAACTGGTCTCCCTCCATTGATGAGGACCTCTGTGCTTCTGGGAAGTTTCATCATTTGGATGCACACAGTTGTTGCTGAATTCTCGACCTGGAAAACAGTGCTACCTGTAAGAGAATTACCTTCTATCTTCCCTCGGTTTATTTGCTTTATCAGAAAGTCAACATGTTTAAGCCCTACTGGAAACTTAAGAACGTCTTAGGACTATTTGTTGGATTGTTTTAGTTTGTAGACATTTCAAAGGTCATTCTTTCAAAAATGTGCAAATACAGTTATAACATGAATTGTGTTTCACTCGATATTTACGCCGTCTTTTTCCTGAAAGGATGTAGATAGTGACTGTTCTTTCCGACTGACAAGTCAGTAGCTTCACATGTGTTCCTGCATGCCGTTTCTTACCAGATGCTGAATGTTTGTTGACTGACAAATGGAATGGGGGCTGCGATGTTAGCCCAACAGCACAGTTCATCCCCTCAACCAGGCACCAGGACAGTGCTCTTCAGTTCATTGTTCAGACGTGAGGCCGTTGTCAGAGAGGCTGCTTTCATAGGCACAGGAAAGCTGTGCTGGGCCGGTGTCTCGGCTTCGGTGTGCAGCTGTGGAATGAAATCTTATCAACAGCTGCAGAGCGTGTCAGGGTTCAGAGATCGCCCCGCACACCAGCTTACTCCGAGAGCCACAGCTTTGCAACAGGCCAAGAAGTGTTCAGTGACCTGGGCCTTTTCTCCCTCCATCCAGACGTGAACCCCCTAGGGTGAGCGTGGAGGCTGCACAGTGAGCAGGCAGGCAGGACATCTTGATCCCTCTTCCATGAAAGTCTCATCAGGGAGTTGGATGCTCTGCTTTCAGGGTCTCGTGCCCTCTCCTAGTCCTAGATATGTGTGGGCAGATTCTTCCCTGGATGCTGTCTCCAAGGTGCAGGCATCGGTTGTCATTTCTCAAACATTAATGTTCTCACTAACCTAATGTGTGGGAAGTACTAAGGAAGTTTGATTTTTTTTTCTGAGACTATGAGCCTGTTTCCCTTTTTGATACTTATTATACCTAGTAGTTGATTTCAGAATAGCCTTTGTCAAGTTGTAACTGGTTGTATTTGATATGAACAAATACCCTAATTATGGTTTAATACTGACCTAAAGTGGCTGTGTGCCTCATAGAAGTATACTGTGTCATCCTGTCTACCTTTTGGTGTATATGAAAACTTTTAAAAAGCTGGATAATCAACAGATGTAACACAACTAGTTACTGCCAAGTCTGCCTCTCCTTCCATTTGTATTCTTCCTGATATCTTTGCTTAGAAACAAACCCTCATTCCCTGCTGCTGCTGCTGCTCTTTCCCATGAGTCTGTATCCCATGCTACCCCTCGCGTACGGTCACCTGCAGACACCTGCTAAACATGCTGTTAGTAAGTGAATGCTCCTGGGGGAGACTGATGGCCACTGGCGCTGTGAGTAACGCTTACCGTGTGACATTCTTGCTTCTTGGGTCAGTTACATAGGCAGTCATGCGAGCATTAATTGGGAAGATTATTCTCCCGCTTTCAAGTAGAGTTAAATTGTTCACTGGTTGGTCATACAGAAAAGTAGATGAAAAACAAATAGTTTGTGTTTAATGTTTGTTTGTTTTAACAGTTAGTGATTGGTGTCTGTGACTGCTGTATGAGAAGAAATATGTATTGTGCCTTTGCTCCTAGCAGAGTTCCTAAAGCCCTTATAAATTCCCAAGCAGTTGGGGTGACAGGAGCATAGTTTGTTATTTGGTATTAGTCTTTAGTTCCTGAAGCAAGAGCTTCCATCTAGATCCTTGCAATCTCCAGAATGATAATAGTGCTTTTTGTCTGCTAATGAGATGACAGAAAGCTGGGGACTGGTCACCAAAGAGAGCAAGGCATGGTCAGAAAGAGGGTGACACGGAAGCTCCACACCCCTTCCCCCATATAGTACCCTCTATATCCCTTCCATTTGGCTATTATTCTTCATAATAGACCATTAATCGTAAGTAAAGTGCCTTCCTGAGTCCTGTGAAGAAGCACTGTAGCAAATTGTTGAACCTGAGGAGGGGTTTGTGGGAATCCGCCAGCTCTCCAGTATGGGGTGGCCTAGACTAGTTAGTGACTGGCGTCTGAAGTGAGGGCAGCCTCGTGTCACAGAGCCTTCACCTGTGGGATCTGATGCCAGGTTCACAGTGTCAGGGGAGAACTGAGTTGTTTAGCACCCAGTCGCACTGGGACTAGAAACAGGTCAGAGTGACATACATCCTTTGTGTGTATTCCCTCGGGATAGCAGGTGCCTTCCCAGGTCAGCATGGAAGTGTGACTTCTGGTCACAGGTGACTGACCTGGCAAGGCTGCAGTCCTCGTGCATGAGGGGCCTGTGATGGCCAGTGTGCAATCAGATGCTTTCAAGACTAATGAGCTTCTGTCATCAGTGTTTCCTTTGCAAATCAGGTTGTTGCAAATGCATACCTCACTCAAAGATGTCATTCACTCCCAAAAATATGTTTGGTACATTTGTCTCACCAGTATGTATAGTTAATATTTTTTGGTTTGTTTTTGTCTGTTGTAAACCAAAAATGGGTTGTTGCTATTTTCTTTACCTTTTCTTTTTTGCTCCTTTTTTTTGAGGATTCCCCTGGGAGAAAGCCAGCAGACATGGATTGGACCATGATGTTCCAGGAGTGTCAGCCTTGGAGTGGGAGAATTGTTCTAAACCGTTTCTCCTCTTAGACCTCCTTTTCTTGAGATTCTGACTCTTGAATATGACCATCTTAAATGCAGACGGGCATTAACTTTAGCGTTCACAGAGGAATGTTAGTGCGTGCAGGCATTTGGGTGCTGTAGGGTCCATAGGTCAGCTCCTTGGCTATTAATGTTCTCAGTAAAGTACATGAGAACCTGCTCTCCTCAGTAAACTAGAAGTTATCAGAGAAGAGATCTTTGTGTCAGAGCCCAATTGATGCAGAGGACCACAGAACACCCGAATGTCAGAAACATGCAATAGTTTTTAACTTATTCAATTTTTCTTTTGCTTTTTGTAACAATCTATTTCATTTGCTTCAGTTCTAAACAAATCATCAGTGAAGATTTGTGATCCCGTGACCCCAAACAAATAAAAACCAAAAGCCATATTTTAGATTCCCATAAAGGATAACATTCATATCTGCCAATGATAAAACATAGTTTTAAAAGCCATTTTGTAATTTAAACTCGAGTGTGTATGTGTGAGTGTGAATGTGTGTGTGTGTGTGTGTCTAACACTGTACCTTGCTCTGCAGTTAGCACAAGGCCATGGAAAGCAAGGGGGTAGAGGGGCCACAGGCCCTGCTCCTCAAGCCTCAGGGTTTTGCTGCAGGTGAGACACGCCACAAGCCCTGCATTTGGTCCAGCCTCTTGTTCCACACTAGAAAAAGTCTTCTCTCCCCATCATTTGAGAAATTTACGTAGGTCATTTTTTTTAGCCTATTGACAAGCCTTGACCATAGTCATTTGAACCTTAGTTTCCATCTGTAGTTTGAAACAAAAATCAAAATGGAAACTTAAATTTAATCTGAGGCAAGCCAAGAAAAGTAGTTTTCAAAATCACTTCATGTGTTCCTCATTTCTGAAATAGGTTCATTTTCCAGATACAAGTGTGTACTCGTAGATGCTATAGAAGGAATCTGCTTCAGAAATCTAAGGAAAAAATAATTTGGTTAAATTTGGCAAACTAGACGTCCAGATTCTGTGACATAGAGCCTGGTTTTGACCAGTTCTAATAGTGTACTGTCTTTATTAAAAGAAGCTCTCCATTGATCTCTGGCTTTCTTAGAACCTGTGGAATGGGGTGTGCTATTATGATGGTGCAAAGGTGGTTAAACTTCAGAGTCCTAAGTTAGAAACCACTCCTTAGGTCTCATTTTTATTTTGCAGTTAGATTTCATTAAAGCTATTTAAAATTTGTTCCCAGTGGAGAAGGCCCTTCCAAATAACAGTCTTTCCTTAAAATAAAATTCTACTACTGAGTTTTAAAAAAGAAAAAGTGTCAAGGAATTCCATACTTGTGTTTATATGAGTGAGATTTCTTTATTAACATGTCCCAGTGTATAAGCCAGTTATTTTTATGTATTTGTTATGTACCGTGTGAGTGTATATGGACAAGAACTATTGAGCTTTAGCCATCAAATTGAGATTGTTAACTAGACAGAAAAAAATCTGAATAAACTTCAGAATTCACCAAACAGGCACAATCATGAAATAGTATTCCTTGCACAAATTGGAGGGTGCCAGATGCTATCATTCTCATGCAGTTCTGAAATAGAAATTTATTGAAAGCTTCACTTTACAAAGCCTTCCAGAATTGCCTAAGTTGGTTTCTCAGTGACCTGCAAACTCCATTGTGCTTCTTTCTGTTCACAGTGCTCCAGCTGAGGCTACAACAGAGGAGGACGAGAGAGCAGCTAGTGGACCAGGGCATCATGCCACGTAAGACTGCAGTGTCACTGTCATCCCCAGTGTGACGCGGGGGGTGGGGGTGCCCAAGAAGAATGTGTAAACCACTGCACTTTCAGTTCGTCCCAAATGAATTTATAAAGAAAAACTAGACATCAGTCTGGTCAGCCTAAGAAAATCATTTAGAACACATTTTAAAAGCCAAATACAGGTTAAAAGATGGACTTGAATTTTATATTATACAAAGAATATTATTATAACATTGTGATTCAGCTAATATCTGTTCTTCAAAATTTAACATTGGCTTTCATTTTGAAATAATTGAAGTTATCACTATTAATGGATCTGAGATTACACTTGTAAAAGTAACAGGATAAAATTGATTCACAACCTTATTTTAAGTCTATTTAAGTCAAATTTTTTGGTGCTATACTCTGATCTATATAATTATATACATCTCAGTTATTTACAGGACTGATAAATACTCTATTTATATTTAATAAAATCTTTCTGGCCCAAGTACAGGCATTCCTAAATATCCCTAGAATTTATTTAGGGAATATTTTTGAAAGTTGGTTAATTTTGGAGTATTTGTCCAAGTTATCTTCTTGAACTTTAATCGCCAACTTCAGGGGTGATTTTATATTTGAGGAGGGAAACATAGTTGTTTTATATAGGCCATTGGGATTATTTTTCTGGATGTTGTCCAAAAATTAATTTTTTAAGAGGTGACTTATTGGACTTAAAACACTAGAAAGAAATTACAGAATGAATTTACACTTCCCAGGCTTTGCTAAATCATTGCTACCCTGTAAACCATGTCTTGGTTTATGATTAAGAATTATTTTTCCTCTATGGTAGGTATTTAGTATTTTTCCCAGTGAAACTTTTTTCTGGACTACTCTTGAGTATCTAAATATTTTAAATCTAGCATTACAATAGTAAAAAACTTCTTTGATAATCTGCTAGATTTAGCTACCTCCACATGCTTGACCTTTGAACCAATCAAAGTATATATCAGATTATGTATCAGATTATGATGTTGAATTTGCTCCTACAAGACCAGCCTTAGTCTACTTCTAGGGTCTAGACCCTAGCCCAACCTGATTGTTGTGGGCTGTGCTAATGGGAGTCTGTAGTGCGCTTTCAGTACCAGAACTGATAGTAATGCTCTAAGAGCCGCAGGAATCCTAGTCCTGTATCCCAACAACTCATCTAACAGCCCATGGTTGTAAGTGCAGGTGGTATCAGACAACAGGGGACATACACAGAAAAGATTTTGCAAAGATATTTGGTAACATTAATGTGGTAGGTAATGCTTTGGTGTACTTGGTTTACTAGAATATTCTGGGATTCTAGAATATTGAATATTTTGACAGTATGTTAAAGAGTCAGTATGTCTTTAAGATGAGTTGCATTGTGGTATGGTAGGAATAACATAAACTTTTCAAATTTAAAATCCTAGACTTAAGTTCCGTTTTGACCATCATCTATCAATATGACCTAAAGAATCCACTTACCTTTTTTGATCCTTTCACCATAGTAAGACTCAGACCTACTTTGCTTAGTTGTTGTAGAAAGCAGTGGTAGGATAACCATGATTGAATGCAGAGCCCATAGTGGGCTCTGAGTAAATGGGGCCTCAGGTCAGGGCCATGAGTCCTGAAGGTTCAAGGTTAGATCACTTCTGAGGACATTTGGGCTTTTGCCAGTGGCTTAGATGGCAGTAAGAGCAAAGTCTTAATAAGGAGTCATCAGATAGTTCCCTGGGCCATGGAAATTTGCCATAGTAGTGATCAGAACCAGTCCAACCTGTTATTTGCATTATCATTATGTATAGGACTCTATTTTAAATGTTCACTTGGGTTTTTCTGGTATGTGTGAGATATATAATTTTATTTCTGTGATATCTAAAGTTTCAAGCTTGGCAGATCTCCTAAAGGAACTGGTAAATAATGGATTTGTAGATGTGAACTAATAGGACTATCAAAGTGAAATACCAAAATGTTGGGCTGAGTAGGAACTCTGTTTACACTGTGGAAATGATTTGTTTGCTCCTCACAGCTTTGAAGAGCCCGGCGGCATTCCATGAACAGATAAAAAGCTTGGAACGAGCCAGAGTAAGAAAGTTCACTTTAATACTTTCTACTTTTCTCCTTTATGCTAAAGTACCTGTGGATAAGTAGCCATCTTACTTTTTTTTTTAAGATTTATTTATTTATTTGAAAATCAGAGTTACACAGAGAGAGGAGAGGCAGAGAGAGACGTGTCTTCCATCCGATGGTTCACCCCCCAATTAGCTGCAACGGCCGGAACTGTGCCAATCCGAAGCCAGGAGCCAGGAGCTTCCTCCAGGTCTCCCACGTGTGTGCAGGGGCCCAAGAACTTGGGCCATCCTCCACTGCTTTTCTAGGCCGTAGCAGAGAGGTTTATCAGAAGAGGAGCAGCCAGACTAGAACTGGCGCCCATATGGGATGCCGGCACTTCAGGCCAGGCATTAACCCGCTGAGCCACAGCGCCAGCCCTGCCATCTTACTTTCAAGTAACAGAAGAAACAGTCTGTTTTCAGGAAACAAGACATACAAATTTTATATTCTGGGGTGGTATGATACTGGAGGTTTGTAAACAATAATGACTTTTAAGTTTTGTGGTTTTTTTTTGTTTTGTTTTTTTGTTTTTTTGACAGGCAGAGTGGACAGTGAGAGAGAGAGACAGAGAGAAAGGTCTTCCTTTTGCCATTGGTTCACCCTCCAATGGCCGCCGCGGCCAGCGCGCTGTGGCCGGCGCAACGCACTGATCCGAAGCCAGGAGCCAGGTGCTTCTCCTGGTCTCCCATGGAGTGCAGGGCCCAAGCACTTGGGCCATCCTCCTCTGCACTCCCGGGCCACAGCAGAGAGCTGGCCTGGAAGAGGGGCAACCGGGACAGAATCTGGCGCCCTGACCGGGACTAGAACCCGGTGTGCCGGCGCTGCAAGGTGGAGGATTAGTCTATTGAGCCATGGCGCTGGCTGACTTTTAAGTATTACGCTTATAAAATCAGTGTTGAGTTTTGTACATAAAGGACAAATTACTTCCTCACTTTCTTGCTTTCAGGTCATAAGAATAGGGAGAATTTAACTCTATCAAAGAACATTGCACATTACATTACTTTTCTTTAAGACTGGCTTTATGCATATTCATTCTTTTTATTTTATTTGTTTTTGGGGAAAGTTGTATCACTCAATATAAAGATAAGCATATAATAAAAATCCATTAAGACTCTTTTGGAGTCTTATATAAGGTAAAACGCATTTTAAAACCATATTTTTTTAAGATTTATTTATTTATTTGAAAGGCAGAGTTACAGAGAGGCGGGGTGGGGGGCAAGGAGGGAGAGAGAGAGAGCAGGAGGTCTTCTATCCACTGATTCACTCTGCCAGATGGCCACAATGGCCAGAGCTGCACCGATCTGAAGCCAGGATTCAGGAGCTTCCTCCAGGCCTCCCACATGGGTGCAGGGGCCCAAGGACTTGGGCCATCTACTACTTTCCCAGGCCATAGCAGAGAGCTGGATTGGAGTGGAGCAGCTGGGACTCAAACCAGTGCCCATATGGGATGCCAGCACTGCAGGCAGTGGCTTTACCTGCTGCGCCACAGTGCTGGCCCCAAATCCGTATTGTTTTAAGAGTTGAATGCAATTTGATTAAGAAAATATGATTCAAGATATGAATCACAAAATATAATTCATAAGGATTTTTTAAAAAGATTTATTTGTTTGAAAGGCAGAGTGACAGAAGGGGGACAAAAGATCTTCCATCCCTCGATTCACTCCCCAAATGCCCAAAACAGTTAGGCCAGGATGAAGCCAGAAGCTAGGAACTACATCCGGGTCCCCCATGTGGGTGTGGGAATACAAGTGCTTGAGCTGTCTTCCACTGCTGCCCAGGTGCATTAGCAGGAAGTTGGTTCAGAAGCTGGATATAGCTGGTCCTGGAACCAGGCTCTCCGGTATGGGATGCAGGCATCTCAAGCAGTGGCTTAACCTACTTGGCGAAATGCCCACCCCAAAATAGTAGCATTTTTAGGCGATTTGTTATCTAACAGTATTTTTACCTCAGCTAAAGTGTAGATTTTATTGTTGTTACATATTTAAGTTATTTGTGTCCTGTATTATTCACAAGTCGTCTTCGGGGCAAGTGTTTGGCCTAGAGGTTAACGCTCCAGTTAAGATGCCCACACCCCACAATGGAGCACCCGAGTTCTAGCTCCACTCATGAATCCAGCTTCCTGCTAATGCAGCAGCTGGAGGCAGTGGTGATAGTTCAAGTGGTTGGGTCCCTGCCACCCATGTGGGGGACCTGGATTGAGTTATTGCCTCCCAACTTCTGCCCGCCCTAGCTGTTTGGAGAGTGAACAAGCAGATGTGAGCTCGCGCTCTCTCACTGCCTCTCAAATAAATTTTTTTAAATCTTCTTCAAAATTGTGAACTTGTACCTTGGCACAGTTTTAAAATTTAAAACATTAGCCTTGTGCCACAGCTCACTAGGCTAATCCTCCGCCTGCGGTGCTGGCACCCCGGGTTCTAGTCCTGGTTGGGGCACTGGGTTCTGTTCCGGTTGCTCCTCTTCCAGTCCAGCTCTCTGCTGTGGCCCAGGAAGGCAGTGGAGGATGGCCCAAGTGCTTGGACCCTGCACCCGCAAGGGAGACCGGGAGGAAGCACCTGGCTCCTGGCTTCAGATCGGTACAGCGCGCTGGCCGTAGCAGCCATTTGGGGGGTGAACCAATGGAAGGAAGACCTTTCTCTCTGTCTTTCTGTCTCTCACTGTCTAACTCTGCCTTTCAAAAAAAATTTTAAAACATTACTACTTTCTACCAACACATACTTTAAGATTTTGAAAGCTACAGTTCAAATCATATATTGGATAATAGTTTCTCTAAATACCAGTTTCTATCTTCTTCCCAAAGTCATGACAAAAAAGATATACAATTTATTTAAATGGAGTACCTTTTAAAAAGCTTAAAACCACAACAAAAATAAATAATTTATAGTAATTCTTTTTTTTTTTCCTTAAAGACTGAAAACTTCCTGAAACACAAGATCCGGAGTCGACCAGACCGTTCTGAACTTGTCAGAATGCACATTTTAGAAGGTAAAGTTTTCATCTCTGCTTATGTTTCTACATTTTCTCAAGAAAAGATGTGAGAGTCTCACCATGTCCATGTATTTCTATTTTAACAACTTTTTACCCCACAGGCTGACATTCTCCAAAGTGGATAGCAGCATGAAGACCCACAGCTAAAATGTTATGTCAGATACATGGGGAAAGTCTGGTGAACTGACTCTTCCCCACCAGCCGGTACCACAGGTGCCTCTACCATACCATTCTGGAAAAAAGTTTTTGATTCAGAGGATTTCTTTACCAAGAGGGACATATGCCCTGCTCAGTAAACCATAAAGGGTACAGTAGCCACAAGTCTGACTTTAGATTTCCAGCTACTTGGATCTTGTTCCTGTCCATCTAGTACAGAACCCACATCCAACATCTTCTCTGTTGCGACTTAGGACAACAGTCTAGTTTGTTCCTACCACTCTCACAAGCTTCTCCCAGTCGCCCACTCCCCGTCACCAAATTATCCCAGTGATCTAGCCTCATTGCTTATGAGGCCTTAGATGCTGTTCCATTCTATCCTTGGCTAAACACATGGCTCAGACCAGGATGCTTTTTTCTGTCTAAAAACAGAGCATTCTTGAAAGTTAGTTCCTCCACCATAGACGGCTGAGTTACATTTTCTCTCATTGCTTGGCTATGCTAACTAATTTATTGAGCAAGACGAGGAGCTTGATCCAATGTTAGTCTTGCGTATGTTAAGGCTTGAAGAGAATTCAGAAGGAATCTGAAAACTTCTCAGACATTTAGACAGTTGTCAAGTAGAAAGAAGATTTGTTTGCTCTGGACCTACTGGTAGAATTAGGGTTGGAGTTAGTGTTAGAACTTGGTAGATATGACAAAGGATTAGACTTTTGCTGAATATAAGGAATAATATCCTAAAGGTTAGAAATGTTCAAAATGAAATCTTCAGGAGGTCATGCTGTCACCGTTGTCAGAGGGATTTGTGGCCTGGCCCACAGATGGAAACTTGCCTTCAGGGAGCTTACATTCCAGTGGCAGAGGCAGGTGATGCACTCGCACAAGTGAATTTCAGATCGGGAAAAGCTCCCTGTGGGGAATCAAGAGGCTGCTGTGAGAGAAAAGGCACAGCTGATAGGCACTAAGAAGTCTCGGGTTTGAGTTTGTACTCTAGGTCTCCAGGGGGGGGTTTCCTCTAAAAAATCTGTGATCATGTGTCTGTCCCCCTCATTCCAGGGAGGGGAGAGGTACGTGCCTTTCTCTGCTTTGGGTTGTGTTTTCAGAAGTCCACTGGACTGAAAAAGCTTTTCCAGAACTCCGGCGGGAGGGTAGAGCAGCTCCCAAGCTGTCGGGGCTAAGTGACTCTTCAGAGAAGCAAGCTCATTGGTACGGACCGGATAAATGGCTCCTTCTGTGCCTCAAAATAGGGACATTTTTGTAGCAACATTGCTGTCGGATTCAACTTCCCATCTAACTGTGACAGTCATGGCAAGCACATTTGTTCAAAAAAAATCATATTTGCTTAAAAAAAAAAAGACTTCCCAACATTTAGAAACAAATGCTGTATATGAATGAACTATAAGTGATGTTTTTAGGACATCTGTTCTGCATTGGGGTTTTTAAAATAAGAAAGAATGTGTCGCCTTTAATTTTAAAATATTAAAAACTGCCCCCTGCTGTTCTCTAACATTAACCCAATTTTGATTGGATTAAACATTTGGCAGGCAAGCGTCTAGATTATTTTCTGAATTTCAGCAGCCTAAATCTAGCTTCACCTTGTGGAGAAGAGAATGATAGAACGAGAAATGAAAACGTAGCAAAGCATCAGGCTCTTCTTACGCACTCCGGGAGTGCTTTCTTCTCAGACTTAGGCTACTGTCCCTGGGCTGATGTTCGAGGGAGGGAGAGGAGAGGAAAGCAGAAGGCCAGCCCACCTGGATCTTCACGAAAGGGTTGAAAGATCAACATAAGGCTAATGGCTAGGTGTAATTCTCTGCCATCTTCCTGTGTGATTCGAAGTGTTTTATCTCAAGATTGAGACCACAGTTGGTTATATAGGAAAATTATGAAGACAAGATGGTCACACTTTTTTTTTTTTTTTGGACAGGCAGAGTTAGACAGTGAGAGAGACAGACAGACAGAAAGGTCTTCCTTCCGTTGGTTCACCCCTCAAATGGCTGCTACGGCCAGCATGCTGCGCTGATCTGAAGCCAGGAGCCAGGCGCCTTCTCCTGGTCTCCCATGCAGGTGCAGGGCCCAAGCACTTGGGCCATCCTCCACTGCCTTCCCAGGCCACAGCAGAGAGCTGGACTGGAAGAGGAGCAACCGGAACAGAACCGGCGTCCCAACCGAGACTAGAACCCAGAGTGCTGGCGCCGCAGGCAGAGGATTAGTCTAGTGAGCCGCGGCACACTATGATATCTTACAGAAGTGTGTATTATTTCCCGATATTTCAGCCTAGGGCTAAGGCCTTCTCTTTGGGGAAAGCTTTGAAGAATGGTGTTCACATCATAAGAGTACAGAGCCATTGTACTCCTACATCTACAATTTCTGTTTAGGGTGCAATGAAAAATTTAAAGATACTTTAAAAGTAATATGAGGTTAAAAACCCTAAATCTCTGTAATTTTCTGCCACATCTTTTACAGTTGTTAATTGTCCAAATTAATTTACCAGTGATTTCTTTTCTCACCTTTGTCGAGTCTTTCCAAAGCGTAATTTGACTTAGGTTTCCAAGAAGTAACTTTTTGAAACATACCACTTTCTCAGAGCATAATTAAAGTATACATTGACAATAGCAGTCAAAACAGTTGCAGATAGTCAAGCTGGACTTTCGGCAAGTGTACGCCTCTGCTGGTAGCAGGGAAGTTGCTCCGGTGTGCTGGGGAGGAGCTTAGCAGCTGTGTCCTCCTGCCCGCAGGATGAAGAACAGCACCGGGCCCTGAGACTTATGCTGTAGGACCTTAGGCAACCAATTTTCAACTCAGAATTTGAGGGCCACACCGTATCATTATTTTTAATCAATTATAAATGCTATTTGGAATGATGGAAGAAAAGTGTTGAGTTACCAGAAATAGAGTAATTAACAGAATAAAGCGAATGAACAAGTAAGGTTATTTATAGTAGTTTCATATCTGTTGCATAAAGTAGTTTCGTTTGTGAGTGCATGAGTTAATGCCTCTGTTCAACCATTGATTACTGTGTGTATATTCCAGCAGGTTCAAGGTTACAGTGAGAAATAAGCCCCACTTCTTAATCATGGTGACTGACGCTCTGGAATGAATCCACCCACATGAACTGTAGCTCTTCCCATTGCCTTTGCAGTGCAGCCAGATCTGGAGCTGTAAACCTCATGAGCCATGGGCCGTGTCTGTCTTGTTCATTCACCCTCTTACCTAAGTGCCAGCGTTTGGCTTGCAGTCACATTAATAAGTGTTGATGTCCACGTTGCATAGGCAAGCCAAAGCTGTCCAAAACTAAGAAATACAAAGTGTGGGTTGGGGCTTTCTTCAACAGTCATTTTCTCTTTCTAGAAGTATGCTGAGATGCTCGCTTCAGCAGCACATATCCTAGAAATACGTTGAGTGCACAAATAAGTCAGACCGTTAAAATTCAGTCACTTAACCTGAAGTGGCACTATGGAATAGAAGTTGTTAATTCAAGTAATGACTACAACTATGTTTCCTCTTTTAGAAACATTTGCAGAGCCTTCCCTTCAGGCTACTCAGATGAAGTTGAAAAGAGCTCGGCTAGCTGATGATCTGAATGAAAAGATTGCTCAAAGACCTGGTCCCATGGAGCTGGTGGAGAAAAACATCCTTCCGGTAGACTCCAGTGTCAAGGAAGCAATTATAGGCAAGCCTCTAAAAATTTACTGTTTTCTGGGAGAAAGTGAACTTGGAAGTTTTAGATCACAAATCTAGTTCAAAGGCCAGTACTAATCAGGAGTCATTTTCTGGGCTAATTAGAAACTGATTAATCCTTACTGTAATTCTTGTTACTGTATGTGGTTTAAGTGTCATAAGCCTGGCATCTGCTGCCAGTTAACGGCTGCCTTGTGTTGTCTGAGGTTTAAGTCTTATATTCTGATGTCATTATCACATTTCCTGAGGGCACTGTTTAGTTTCTGTTACTTCATATTTTTGCAGAGGTTTTATTTTATTTCTGTCTTCTAGGAAAGATAAAGAAAAGTAGCTTGTTAATGTTCAGAAAGGACAAAAGCAGATAAACATAAATGCACTCATTAAAATTGGTAGTAACTGTCCATTTTATTCATTTCTATACTTGGTGACTGATGCTTCTCTTATTCATTCTGGCATAAGCTTTGACAGGAAACTTACACAGCAAGCAATTTTGAAAAGTTATTATCCTATCTTAAAAACTTCATGGTTTCCTTTAATATGAATGTAGGAAATTTGTAGTCAAGAATTGTAAGTAGTACAGTCATCTATGATTCCACTTAATCTCTGATCAGACGTGCTACCATTGCGCCACGAGGTCACTGATTCCACTTAATCTCAAAGAGATAAGCCGCAAAAGGTAAGATATCAGTCTAGCTGGGCTGCTCCTGAGGTAGGAACTCATTAGCAAGTGCCTGGTCATTGCCCCATTTTTTTTTTAACACTTGGGTAACAGGACAGAACCGAAGCAAGGTCCCCCACTTGCCTCTGGGAGCTGTATCTCCTGAATCCTAATCTGTTGAGTATCCTCCCTCCCTCTCGACCTCTACCTCTACCCTTGCTCCTTATTGGTTGAAACAGACGTGTTCTGTCCTCTAGAATGCCCCACATTCTGGGTGACTGATTCCGTCTGTGTTTCCTGAAATATCCCTTCCTATAACCAGTGGTTGGATCCAAAGGCTTGGTCTAATTCAGGTTTGTTTCTCTCCCCACCCAAACAAATTGCATCGTAGGTAGGCAGGTAGCGGCGTGTTCTTCTACTTGGAGAAGCATTATATTCTTTTGTTGTTGTTGTTTTTAGACAGCTTCTTAAATTCTTAGAGGAAACAAAGTTTCTCCTTTTTCATATCAGGTTTGGTATTCAGGGCCAACATGAGTTAAGAGTCACTTCTTTCTTTAGGCGTTGGGAAGGAGGACTACCCCCACACTCAGGGCGATTTCTCATTCGATGAAGACAGCAGCGATGCTTTGTCTCCGGACCAGCCCGCCAGCCAGGAGTCCCAGGGGTCAGCCGCTTCCCCTAGTGAGCCAAAAGCTAGCGACTCACCGTCTTCAGTGACTGCAAACACAGCTGCCCAGGTATTTCACCCCCAAACAAAAAATGTGCCTTGTTTTTTCATATACCAACATAATAGATTTGTACCAGAAGGAACATCTGAAAGTGCTGAAAAAAGAGAGTGTGTTTTTCCAGCACAAAAAGCTCATCACGGTTAGATTCTTAAATGTTAAGTATGTTCACTTTGTTGTGTAGCACATTTCCAGAACCTGCTTGGATGGCAACGTTGAAATGCTATACCCATTAGGCCGGCGCCACGGCTCAATAGGCTAATCCTCAGCCTGCAGTGCCAGCACACCGGGTTCTGGTCCGGGTCGGGGCGCCGGATTCTATCCCGGTTGCTCCTCTTCCAGTCCAGCTCTCTGCTGTGGCCCGGGAGCGCAGTGGAGGATGGCCCAAGTCCTTGAGCCCTGCACCTGCATGGGAGATCAGGAGAAGCACCTGGCTCTTGGCTTCGGATCAGCGTGGTGCGCCGGCCGCAGCGCACCGGCAGCGGCGGCCACTGGAGGGTGAACCAACAATAAAAGGAAGACCTTTCTGTCTGTCTCTCTCTCTCACTGTCCACTCTGCCAGTCAAAACAAACAAAAAAACCAACCAAACAAACAAAAGAAATGCTATACCCATTAAACAACTCCTTTCTTCCCCCATCTACCCAGCCCCTGGCAGCTATCATTCTATTTTCTGTCAATTGGAGTATTCTAGGTACCTCATAAAAGTAAACTCCTGGCCGGCGCCATGGCTTACTAGGCTAATCCTCCACCTTGCGGCGGCGGCACACCGGGTTCTAGTCCCGGTTGGGGCGCCGGATTCTGTCCCGGTTGCCCCCTTTGCCCCTCTTCCAGGCCAGCTCTCTGCTGTGGCCAGGGAGTGCAGTGGAGGATGGCCGAAGTCCTTGGGCCCTGCACCCCATGGGAGACCAGAAGAAGCACCTGGCTCCCGCCTTCGGATCAGCGCAGTGCGCCAGCCGCAGCGCACCGCCCGCGGTGGCCATTGGAGAGTGAACCAACGGCAAAGGAAGACTTTTCTCTCTGTCTCTCTCTCACTGTCCACTCTGCCTGTCAAAAAAAAAAAAAAAAGTGAACTCCTATCATATTTGTCTTCTTATGACTGGCTTATGTCCTTTAGCATGATGTCCTTATGTTGTAGCATGTGACAGGAATCTTTTCCTTTTTAAGACTGAACAGTATTTCGTTTTATATTCTAAAATAACACATCTTGTTTATTCATCCACTGATGGACACTTGCGTTGCTGCCAAACCTCTTGGCTGTTGTGAATAATGGTTCTATGAACAAGGGTGTGCAAACAACTCTTCAGGACCTTGCTTTCAGTTCTTGTAGATATACATCCAGAAGTGACATAAATATGCTATTTCTATTTCAAATTTGTTTTCCTTTTTTAAGTTTATTTTACTTTTTTGAAAGGCAGAATTTCAGGGAGAAAGGAGAGAGCTCTTCCATCCACTAATTCACTCCCCAAATAAGCGCAGTGGCTAGGGCTGTGCCAGGCCAAAGCCAGGAGCCAGCAATGTATTCCTTGGCTCCCACGTGGGTACACAGGCCCAAGCACTTGGGCTTTCTTCTGCTGCTTTGCCAATCTCATTAGGGGGAGCAAGATCGGAAGTGGAGCAGCTAGGACTCAAACTGGCACCCACATGGGATGCCAGCATTCCAGGCGGTAGCTTTACCGGCTACACCACAGCACCGGCCCCTCTAATTTGCTTTCTGTAGCACTTGCACCATTTTATGGTGCTACCAACAGTGAAAATGTGTTCCAGTTTCCCCATATCCTTGCCAACAACTGTTCTTTTCTTTTTTTTTTTTTTTTTTAAGATTTATTTATTTATTTGAAAGAGAGGAGAGGCAGAGGGAGTGAGTGAGAGAAAGAGGTCTTCCATCTGATGATTCCCTCTCCAATTGGCCGCAACGGCCAGAGCTGCGCCAATCCGAAGCCAGGAGCCAGGAGCTTCTTCCGGGTCTCCCACGCGGGTGCAGGGGTCCAAGGACTTGAGCCATCTTCCACTGCTTTCCCAGGCCATAGCAGAGAATTGGCTTGGAAGTGGAGCAGCCAGGTCTCGCACCGGCGCCCATATGGGATGCCGGGCGCTTCGGGCCAGGGCGTTAACCCACTGTGCCACAGCGCCGGCCCCCATACTAACTGTTCTAATAAGTGTGAGGTGCTATCTCATTGTGACTGAGATATTCATCTCTGTAGTGGTCCGTGATGGTGAGCACCTGTATGTAGGATCAGTGGAGATAATCTGTCTGTTCAAGTCCTTTGCCTATTTTGTAATCAGATTATTTTTGTTGTAGAAGTCCTTTATATATTGTGTATGTTAACCCTTACCAGACACATGGTTTATATGATATGAAATATCTCATATTTATTTTATACAATATAAATTTCTTCCATCCTAAGGATTGTCTTTTTAGTCTTGATTTTGTCCTTTTGATACACAGTTTTTAAGTTTGATATTGTCCTGATTGTTTTTTTGTTTTATTGCCTGTGATGTTGTTGTCATATCAAAAGAAATCATTTATGAATCCAGTGTCACAAGGCTTTTCTTCTATGTTTTCTTCTAGGAGTTTTTTTTTTTTTCAAGATTTGTTTATTTATTTGAAAGTCAGAGTTACACAGAGAGAAGGAGAGGCAGAGGCAGAGAGAGAGAGAGATCTTCCATCTGCTGGTTCACTCCCCAATTGGCTGCAATGGCTGGAGCTGTGCCGATCTGAAGCCAGAAGCCAGGAGCTTCTTCCAGGCCTCCTACGTGGGTGCAGAGACCCAAGGACTTCGGCTATCTTTTACTGCTTTCCTAGGCCATAGCAGAGAGCTGGATTGGAAGTGGAGCAGCCGGGTCTCGAACTGGCGTCCACATGGGATGCCGGCACTGCGGGCAGCAGCTTAACCTGCTCTGCCACAGCATCTGCCCCATTCTTCTAGGAATTTTATGGTTTGGGGTCGTACGTTTAGATGTTTAATCTATTTTTAGCTGATTTTTTTTTTTTTATTTGAAAGAGAGAGGGAGAGAGGTTCCACCTGCTGATTCCACTCCCCAGCCAGCCAAAACGGCCAGAACCGCACCGATCCAAAGCCAGGAGCCAGGAGCTTTTTCCAGATCTCCCACACCCCACACAAGTATGGGGGCTCAAGGACTTGGGCCATCTTCTACTGCTTTCCCAGGCCATAGCAGAGAGCTGGATCGGAAGAGGAGCAGCAGGGACTAGAACCGGTGCCCATATGGGATGCAGGCGCTTCAGGCCAGGGCGTTAACCTGCTGCGCCACAGCGCCGGCCCCAGCTGACTTTTGTATATAGTATTACGTAACACATCTTATTTACTTTCTGCTTTGTATATAGATATCCAGTTTCAACTGGATGTTTGTTGAAGAGATTGTCCTTTCCCCATCGATTGGTTTTGGTACCCTGTTGAAGAACATACGATCATAAACCTAAGGGTTAATTTCTGCTCTTGCCATTGGTTTGTACATCTGCTTTTTGCCAGTACCATATTGTTTCAATTACTATAGCTCTGCAGTAAAATGTGAGAATTATAACTTTGTTGTTCTTTTTCAAAACTGTTCCGGCTACTCAGTTGCTTGAGACTCAGTATGAATTCTAGTATAGGTTTTGAGATTCCATATGAATGTTAGTATAGATTTTTCTATTTCTGTAACAAATGACACAGAAAAAATTATCTTTATAGAGCATATAATAATAGAATAATTCTGTATATAACTTTTATACTTTAATAATTACTAAATAGCTTTTTTTAAACTATTTATTTATTTATTTATTTGAAAAGCAGAAAGAGACACAGGGAGATCTTCCATCCACTGGCTCACTCTCCAAATAACCACAACACCCAGGGCTGGACCAGGCTGAAGCCAGGAGCCAGGAGCTCCTTTCGGGTCTCCCACATGGATGCAGGGGCCCAAGTACCTGGGCCATCTTCTGCTGTTTTTCCCAGGCACATTAGCAGGGAGCTAGGTATCAGAAGCAGAGAAGCCGGGATACATACTAGCGCCCATGTGGGGTGCCAGCCCTGCAGGTGGGGACTGCAGCACCAGCCCCTAAATAGCTTTCTTAATAAATATACACCTGGATAATTTTTAATGACTAGAAGTTGTTTCCCATTTTTACTCCCATACATATATAAGACCCCTGTTGTATTCTCACATACTTACTCTATCCTGGTTTTTTAATACATATATGTTGGGAACTTGTCTAACTATTTCTTTGGATAAATTACTAGGTATGGAAATGGACTTGTTAGGCAAAATACAGGCACTTTACTGCCTTCCAGGAACATAATACAGGTTTCCATAATCACTTTGTTTTTACTACAAGTCCGAGGGTATTTCAAGTTCATGGAGGGGCCAGCATTGTGGTATAGTTAAACCACCACTTACAACACCGGCATCTTGCATTAGAGTGCCACTTTAAGTTCTGGCTACTCTACTTCCAATCTACCTTCTTGCTAATGCATCTGGGAAAACAAAGGAAGATGCCTCAAGTACTTAGGCCCCTACCACCCATGTGGGAGACCAGGATGGAGTTCCTGGCTCCTGCCTTCAGCCTGGCCCAGCCTCCATGTGTTGTGGCAATTTGAGGTGTAAACCAGCCAGTAGAAGATCTCTCCCCTGTCTGTCCTTTTGTCTGTCAGTCTGCCTTTCAAGTAAATAAATAAATCTTTCTTAGGAAGAGTTCATGGGAAAATGGAACTGAATTTATTTATTTATTCATTTATTTGTTTGTTTATTTATTTAAAAGGTGGAGTTACAGAGAGAGAGAGATCTTCCATCCCCTGGTATATTCCCCAAATGGCTGCAGCAGCCAGAGCTGAGTCAGACAGAAGCTAGGGGTGAGTGAGCATTCAATCTAGCAACGAAGACACCTACATCCCATATGTGGCTCCAGCTTCCTGCAAGTACAAAGCCTGGTGAGCAGCAGTGAGGACTCAAGTAACTGGGCTCCTTGCCACCTACGTCGGAAACCGGGATTGAGTTTCTGGCTTCCGACTTCAGG